ACCCAGATGCGGACGGGGCACCCAGATGCGGACGGGGCACCCAGATGCGGACGGGGCACCCAGATGCGGACGGGGCTGGAAGGCCAGCATTGTTCCCCGCCCCCCCCAGTCCCGCGTCTTGTCTCTGTGACCTTGGACAAGTCCTTTCCTTCCCCCCCACCCCCCCAAAAAAGAGCAGGCGTTATCCTGGATGACCTCAGAGGTCCCTCGAAGGCGTCATGGCGATGAGCTTTCATTAAGTGCCTACTGTGTGCCGGGCATGCAAAGAAAGACCACAGGCACACTCCTGCGCCTCGGGAGCTCCCACGGGCCACCTTGCAGAAGGCTGGCACACGTGCACTTATCCGCCTGGATGGAGTCTGAAGGTCACACAGTAAGGGCCCCCGTGGACCTGGGAGCATTGCCCCCCCCAAAAGGCAGCCCCTCGATCCCTCCCTTCCCGTGGCAAAGAAGGTCTCCGTCCTGCCTCCTAGGGTCCCTAGGCAACTACTCCCCTCCCATTCATGAACTTGGGGAGGGCAGTTTCTAAGCAGGCCGGGTATTCCTCATCCTCACCACAGGCTGGGGAAGGACATGACCCCTCTTTGTTGTAGTGGACAGATCTGTGTTCAAATCCCGACCCAGACACGCACCTTGTAGCAAGTTTCTTCATCTGTGTAATGGGTAAAATCATACTTTAACTCTGTTTCAGGGCAGTAGGGAGGGAAGCATTTTGTAAACCTGTAAGCCACTTAAATGCCTCCAAATGCCTCACTCCTGATACCGGTAAATATTCGTGAAATTGTATCTGAAATTCGCCTCCACTCCTGAGGGGCCATTCTCCACGGGGCCACAGAAGCCTCCTGCCCTGGGCCTCCCCACCGCCGATGCCGCCCACTGCGCCAGGGGATAGCGCTCACTCAGAGGAAGCTTCTCTCTGCCCCCTATCTGCTGCTCTGGGGCCACGGGAAACAAGTCCATCTCTCCCCCATGAAGGCTTTTCAGACCCCTGAAGGCAGTTGGCAGGTCCTTCCCTGAGGCTCCTCCAGGCCAAAGATCTTGGATTCCTTCTGTCCATCCATATCCAGGCCCTTTAGCATCTGGGCCGCCTTCCTTCGGACAGCCTCTAACGGATCACTGCGATTCCCGAGATGTGGCCCCCTAGAGCTGGTGTCCACAACCTCAAGGCTGCTGTCTGACCCTGGCAGAGGAGAGCTGGGCTGATGCTGCCCCTCAGTGCAGCTGAGATGGCTTTGGGGGTTGGGGGGCTGCCCACACACACACCCCAGCCCTGACACACTCGGGAAATATTCAAAGGCAGCAGACACATCTGCCTGGGTAGAGGATTCTTCTGTATCAGCATCTCCTTCTGCCAATAAAATCAGAGGGCCAGTCTGACCCACGGTTCATCCTGCTCAGTTGGGTCCCTGGTTCTGGCCTGTCTAGATCATTTTAAGTCCTGACTGCCCTCCACCGTGTAAAGAAATGAATTAGAGAGGAGTGTAAAGGCATACACGTGGACCCCCCCCCCCCATCAGCTTCACAACCGCATTCATGCCAATTGTTTAATGTTCAAGGAAAGGAACAGAGACATGAGTCACCACCACCTCCACCCTCACAGTTGCTGGGTTTCTGAGGCCTATGTCCCCTCTGGCCTGGCCTGGGTGCTCCCCAAACCAGCTGAGCTCAGAATAGGGGAGGTGGGCATAGCTAGGACAACCCCAAAGACCAGCTTCTGGAGGTGTCTCTCCACAGCAATGGGAAAATGTTGGTCTGCCAGGGGGCAGAGGGTGGGGCTGTATGCCAGGCTCTGATGGCTTTTATCCCTACTCTCTCCTATATCCACCGACAAACAATTTGGGGCATTCTTCTGGGAGGTCAAACGTGGTGTCTGCACATGACCTCTAACTCTGTGGGCCTAGGTTGGGCCCTCAGTCTCCCTCTTGGGGCAGGTAGGGGTGGGTCACAGCTGTTTTTCCCTTTGACCTGGCTGTGTGTATGGTGGGGGAAGAGAAGGTAGGGGTTGGGGTGCAGGCTGTCAGGGGAGGGCATAGAGGAGCAGGTCCCAGGATGGCTTATGGAGCAGAGCTGAAGATGGTGGTAATTCACTTTGGCATTAAATTCCAGGGAGCCTGAGAAAGAAGAGGAACCTCTCCCCCCACGCCCACGTGACTCCCCCCAGGAGAGTAGAAAAGGCACCCGAGCAGTCAGTAGAAATGACAGCAGATTGAAAGTCAGGTGACCTGGGCTTAGGAACCCCTCATCTCCCTCCTCTCCCCCACCTCAGCTTTTGGGGAAGGTGGATAATGTTTCTGGGCTGGATGGGGACTAAGGTGTGGCTAGGAGGCTAGGGATTGGGGAGGGAAGTTGTGACTGGGTCTGTCTAAATCACTTCCTTTTTCCCAGGAAACAGGGCCTCAGTTTCCTCATCTGTAAAATGGATACAAGGGGGGCAGCTAGGTGGCACAGCGGATAGAGCTCTGGCCTTGGAGTCAGGAAGACCTGAGTTCAAATCCGGTCTCAGACACATAACCCTTACTAGCTGTGTGACCTTGGACAAGTCACTTAATCCCAATTGCCTCACCAAAAAAAAAGAAAAAAAAAGAGTGACATAAAATGGATACAAGGGGCTAGAGAGAGAGTGACTTGCCCCACAATACAAGATAGGGAGTTGCAGGGGTGGGGTTCAAACCAGGTAGGAGGAAACTGAGTCATGGGGTGGGGGGGCTCCACCGATGGGGGTGCTGGGATCCTGCTGGAAGTCATCTGGCCAGGGCCATCGACTCCCCACCCCTGCATCCAGCCCCTTGACTCTGCCCACACTGGGTGCTCACTCCTGGTTCTGGCTGCTTGCCAGGAGGCCCAGGACACCTTGAGGAGCCCGGAGAGCTAGGGCTCCCTGGTTCCCCTCCACCTTGGCCTCAGGGAGAGGGTAGGGGGCTGAGCGGACCCTGGCTGAGGCCCCTGTGTATGGGCCATGGTAGGAGATGTAGCCAGTGGGGGCCAGAAAGACCTCGGGGGGCAGATGGGCAGCACTGATCCGGGGGGACCCAGAAAGCTCTCCGGACGGCACCGGGCCCACTGGGTGCTGATGGAGCTGGGGGGCGGTCCTGGAGACGGAGGTGGAGAATTTGGGCTGGAAGCGCGGGCCAGGTTTGTCCAGGTCTGAGAAGGAAGCAGTTTTCCAGGGTGAGCTGCGCTCAAAGCCTTTGGCATAGGCGTGGGGCCTCAGCTCTCAGCCGGCGCAGCCCCGTTCTGACCCCAAGCCCCGAGAGGAGGGAGGGTGGTCGGGGCTCCCAGACTGCCCTGTGGTGAGCCTGAAGCTGCAGAGAAGCTCTGTGTGAAGCTGAGACTCCTGGAAGCGCCTTGGCCCACCTCCTTAGAGCGCCCCACTCCTCGAGGCCTCACGGGGACCTGGGAGTCCACAGAGGAGAGCTGGGATTCGAACCCAAGTTTTCTGACCCCAGTCCAGGGCTTCCCCTCCTCCACACCATGGCACCAGACTGCTAACAAAGGCATCCTCACTGCCCACAATCAGGAGATCTGAGCTGAGGACCTCACTGAGAATCCCCTCCACAGCAGTGACAGGGAGCTCACTACCTCCTCAGGCAGCCCATTCTACTTGGGGGCAGCTCTGACTGGCAGGAAGCTCGCCTGCCTCTGTCACCTCCCTGACTCCATTGCTCCAGGCTGTGCCCTCTGGGGCCAAGGTTGTGGTCATTCAGTAGCGAGTGACTCTTAGTGAAAAGTTACTGAAGTGGTTTGCCATTTCCTCCTCCAGCCCATTTTACAGAATGGTGAGGAAGAATGTTGTAGTGGAAGGAGTGCTTGCTACCTGGGCTTGGAGTCTGAGGTCCTGGGTTCCAATCCCAGCTCTCTCATTTGCCACCTTTGTTGTTGGCCACAAGTCACTCCTCCAATCTGGGCCTATAAAATGGGGGGCCTGAACTAGGGGACCGCTGAGGTCATTCTGTGATCTTCGATGATCCTGCGCAAGTCATTTCACCTGCCTCCGTTGCCTCATCCATAAAATGGGAATACTTTTTGTACAACTGACCTTATGGGATCGCAGTGAGAAAAGTGCCTGTGACCCACACTCTGTAGAAACAGGGATGGGGACAGTGACGGTCCTTCTCTCTTCAGTCCCATCTTTTTCATGGGGCTCAGAAAGTGTCCTGGCACAAGGCCCAGCCTGTGGACATTCTCCCATAGTGAGTGTTCTGTGGACAACCGTGCGGGTCCACAACACAACTGACTGACCTTTGCAGGGGAACCCCAGTGTGGGGCGTGACCCCAAGCAATCTCCCCTTCCCAAAGCTCCCTTCTTGACATGTGAAAGTCTCTTCTGGGACATGGCAACAGGGTAGGAGTGGAGGTCTGGTCGCCTGTGACTGCGGCACATGGGATGGGGTTCGAGGCCAGGCTGTGGGCAGGCATCAGAATCGTACTACAGGCTGAATGTGAAGCCAATCTGTGGCTTTCTTAGCATCGTGCCCTACCCAGCGAGCTAACCAGCCTCTGCCATCCCTGAATTCAGCCTTGCCCAGGCCTGGGAAGAAAGGAGGACCTTCCCAGAGAGGAGGCTGAAGGGAGGGTTGGGGTTAGGGATGGAGATCTGCAGCCCCTCCAAAGTCGGGGGCTCTGTCCCAGACCCCTCCCTTGTCACCCCGGAGGAGAGGTCCGTACCTTTCTCTTCCTGGTGGTCCTCCTTCAGCAGTGGGGCCCGGCTGCTCTGGCTGCTTTGGCTGCTCTGGCTGCTTCGGAGCACGGGGCTGAGCACGGGCCTTGGGGCCCTAGGCCTGGGGGCAGATGCAAAGAGGCCTGTGTTTGCTTCAGAGGGATGATGGGGGAGAGGAGAGAAGACAAGGACTGAGGCTGGAACATGGGGGTAGCTCATCTATTCTGGGGAGGGGTCTGTGTGCTTGAGGGGTTAGAGGGTCCCCAGGCAGAGGGTGCAGCTCAGTCAGAAGCAGGGGCCCAGGGTTGGGCCCCCTGCATCATGTAATCAGCCCATGGGAACGTGAGATGTGTCTGCATGCCCCAATGCGCTTGTTACCAGGTGTCCGGGTCACACTCTCGGAAGCCTTTGGCAAAGGGATTGCTGGCGATCTTTAGCTGTGTGATCTAGGGAAGAGGAGATTAGTTGGTTTTGACTTAGGATGGAGAAACTGGGGTGGGGAATGAACCCTACTGGTCTGAGGACCCTTGTGGCACCTCCCCTGACTCCTTCCTCATCACTACCCAGCAGATTCCAGGAGTGAAGAGGCACTGAGCTGGTCACCTCCATCCTCGCCACCCCAACCCTTGAATCGGTCCTTGTCCCCATGCCCCATTATCCATCCCCAGCACTCCCTTCACTCCCATCTACAGCTGCTGAGTATTGCCTCCCGTATTCTCCTGAGGCTCTGAGGCTAGGGGATGACCAAGTAGGCACTCAGGAATCTTTTAGCAGGACCAGTGCTCCAGGGATCTGGGTTTGGCGCTATGTGGTTTAACATTCTCATCCGTGAATTATGTAACAGTGACTATTCTGGACCAGAATCTGGGTGTGTGCCAGAGCCCCATTCTACTTTGATAAAGGAGAGATGGCGTGCCTATCCGATTTATGGGTGATGCTGAATTAGGAGGGAGAGGTAACACGCTAGATGACAGAGGCAGGATGGCGGCAGGCTAGAATTCTGGACTGAGTCAAAGAAGATGAAATTAACTAGTAACAAATGTCTAGTCTTCTGTGGGTTCAAATAATCAATGTCACAAGAGCAAGATGGTATATACCTTGCTAGAAAGCAATTTGTCTGAAGAATATCTTTAGGTTCTGAGGGCCTGTGAGCTCAGAGAACAGAGAACCCAGACAGCTTTTAGGTAGCACTAAGAGTCACAATGTCCAAGACTAAGAGGGTGAATCCTGCTGTCCTCTGCCCTGGTCAGGCCCCTTCTACATTATTATGAGTAGCTCTGAGCAACCTATCTTAGAAAGAACTCCAGTAGGGTCAGCTAGGTGGCACAGTGGATAGAGCACCAGCCCTGGATTCAGGAGGACCTGAGTTCAAAACTGATCTCAGACCAGATACTTGACACTTGCTAGCTGTGTGACCCTGGGCAAGTCACTTAACCCCAATTGCCTCACAAAAAAAGAAAGAAAGAAAGGGCTTCAATAAGAGGAACCATGAGAAGTGGGCAAGCCAGGTAGGGAAGGGCCTTGATTTCATGCCACAAGAGGTTTGGTTAAGGCCCTGGGGCCATTTATCTTGAGGAGGAGAAGGCTGGGGGACATGATGGCTGTCTTCAGGTATTTGAAAGACTGAGGTGGAGAAAAGGGATTAGATGTGTCCTTGAGCCCCAGGGTCCCAAAAGCAATATTAGTTACAACTGGGCCTCAGCAAAGACTTCCTGAGGACCAGTGCTATCCCAAAGTGGAGGGGGCAGCTTGTGGTGATCAGGGGCTCGTCTGGAAGGTGGCAGATGAATGGCTGCCTGGTCAGGTAAGGCTTGGATTGGAGGGACCCTGAGACCCCTTCCTCGGGCCTCTCAGATGCTGTCACTCCAGGACCCTTCCCTCCTGAGGCCTTGTTCTGGGTTCTGGAAGGCCAATGGGCTTCTCAAAATGCCGGAGGCTCTGTCCCACTTCCCCTCTCCTCTGACCACAGGCTCAGCTTATAGGAAGGGAGAGAAAGCATCTAATCCAATCCCTTCACATTACAGATGAGGAAACTGAGGCTCATCGAGGTTAAGGGACTCACCCAAAGTCACACAGCCAGTAATAATAATAACTCACATTTCTGCAGTGTTTTAATGTTTCCATCCAACAATCCTCTAGGGCAGGAAGTGAAAAGATTATCATTCCCATTTTACAGAAAGAAAAAAAAAAAGAAACTGAGGCTCAGAGAAGCCTGAATTGGGATCTGGGTTTCTAGATCCAGCAAAGAGCCTTTTGGGGCCACAGGAAGGAAAGATCTCAGGCTCCCTCCAGCCAGCCCCTCCCCTAGACTCCCAGCTCCCCCTCCCCCAGCCTGAGGGCCAGAGCTCTCACCCGGTGGTTCTGGTAAGCCGTCACAGCCGTGAACTGAGTCTCAGAGAAGATGAAGGACTTGAAATTCTCCTGTGCATAGCGCTCACTGTCCTTGCGTGGGTCCACAAACACCACATGGAATCGGGGCTGGTAGCGGTGCATGGAGTTAAGAATGATCTGGGCAGGAGGGAAGGCTGAGATGGGCTGGTGACTGGCATCTGGACCAGCCCCACAGCGCCCCAGCAGGGTCTCTCCCCCATTCCGATGAGAGGGGCCTGAGGGAGTCTGCATCACCTAGAGGGCAGGGGGGTGTGGGCCCAGTGGTACCCCAGAGGGTGGGAGCAATGGAAGCCTGGAGGATGGGACCCCAGGGCACAGGCCCTCTAGGGCTGTCTTGGGGGGGGGACGCCCATCCCTGTGGCCGGTCTGATAGCTCAGACTCCAGCTGTCACCCAACAGTGCAATCACAATCATCCAGGACTGGTTTGATAATCCAATCCAGAAGACTCAGATATGTGCAAAGCGCTTGCCTCAGTGATGCCACTGTAAGGTGGGAAGTGAGAAGGAGCCTTATTATCTCTATTTTATCGGGGAGAGAGGCAGTGGGATAGAATAGTTAAAGAGATGACCTCAGGAGCCAGGAAGACCTGGGTTCAAATTCTCCCTCTGACAGATCCTGGCTGTGTGACCCTGGACAAGTCACTTTCCTTCTGGGTGTCCCAGCTGGCTCTTTAATATTGCACATTACAGACCAATGCCAATCTGCATCGGTGGAGGAAGTTTCCACACTAGGAGTTCCCTATGCCAATGAAATCACAGGTCCAGTAAAAAAAAAAATGATGAGGAAGGCTGTCATTCAGAGAGGGAAGGACTTAGAATCACAGGGTTTAGAGCTGGAAGAAGCCTTGGAAATCATCTGGTTCAACTCGCTCATTTTGCAGAGGAAGAAACTGAGGCCAGAGCGAGGAAGCACTGGTCTGAAGTCCCAGAGCTGGCGAGGGTGAGAGCTGGGATCCGAAACCAATCGGCCACGCGCTCAGGTCCCTTCTGGCCTCCAGCATCTGCCTCTCAGGCCTGGGGCTCTCGCTCCAACCTCAGCTGGCTTTGGGCCGGCTGCCTGGCCCTCATCTTGCTGCCCCTTTGCCCCATTCCCGTGCCCAGCTGCGTTCTCTCTTCATGCTCCGCCTCTCCCACCTGCTCGTCTTCGTTCCCAGATCGGCCCCTGCTCGCCGGTTTTCACGGGCTTCCTCTCTCCCCGGCCCCCTCCCCACCCACCGTCCGCTTTGCTACCCATCGCTCTTGTCTCCCCTGCTTGGTACCCATCCCAGGTGTAACGGGCATGAAGTAAATGGAGTTCGGCTCCAGGTGCCAAGCTGCAAGAGAGGGCTCGCTCCCTCCCACTCCCCCCCGGGCGCACCCACTCCGGCCCCGCCCCCTCTGCCCCCCGCGACGGGTCCTGGCTCACGTGGCCGTTGTCGTCCAGCAGATTGTTCGTGAGCTTCAGCTTGTCGAAGGAGACGATCTGACGCATCCACTGGGCGCCCTTGGCGGGGGAGTCGGGATGGAAGTGCATCCTGCCCGGCGTGGCCGGGTCCGCCTTTCCGGCTGCCAGCCACGTAGAGCTGTGGAAGGCGTATCTGGAGGGCAGAGCGGGGCAGGGCAGATGGGCGACCCCCCGGCCCTGGCCTGCCTCCAGCTCCCTCCTGTCCCCCCTCCCCCGTATTGGAGGGCAACGTGCCCGGGGGGATGTGGGGCACCCAGTCCTGCGCTCCCTTCTCCCTGGGAGAGCTGCCGGAGTGTCCAGAGCGGCAGATTTGGCAGTCAGAAGACCTGGGTTCCCATGCTGCCTTCCCCACTGACTCGTTGTGTGGCTTCGGACAAGCAGCCTCCACTCTCTGAGCCTCAGTTCCCTCCTGTTAGATGGGGGCGTGCTCTCTACGTAGGGTCCTTTCTAGATGGGGATGACTGGAGCATACATCTCGAACTGGAAGGGACTTTGGAGGCCATCTAGCCCAACGTCTTCCTTACTTTACAGGTAAAGAAACTGAGGCACAGGGAGGTTAAGTGACTTGCCCAGAGTTACACAGTCAGGGAGGCTTTGTGGCTACAATCGCAGTGCCTGGCACAGAGCCGGATAAGTGTTTTATTCATTCATTCACTCATTCACTAATTCATTCACCCCGAGGCCCCATGCCGCTGTGGAAACAACAATGGACTTGGAGCTGAAGGCACCTGGGTTAGTCTTGGCCCGGAGGCTACTGGCTGTGTAGCTGTCGGTAAGTTACTAACCCTCTCTGAGCCTCAGTATTCTCGTCTATAAAGTGGACTCATACCACTCCCGAGTGGACCCTGTTACTAAGGAGGAAGCAGAAATGGGGGCTTCCTGACTTTGGGCAAGTGCCTTCCCGTTTCGGAGCCTCAGTTTCCAGCCTTGTAAAATGTGGGGTTGATTGCTCAGTTGCAGAATTTAGATCTGGAAGGAGCGTTCCAAATGAGGAAATCTAAGAGTCGGAAGGACGACGGGAGGAGGTGCTTCCAGTCTCACCCACACCTGCATGAGAATCCTCTCTCCGCCTCCCCTGTGCCACTACGGTTCATCCAACCTTCATTCGGAATCTTTACTGAAGGGGGAGCCTCCTGCTTCCCAAGGATGGCCACTCTGCTTTGGGACAGCTCTCACGGGCGGGAAGTTTTTCCTGACGTTGAGCCCAAATTCTTTGCCACATCCTCCCCTCCCCCATGCTCCTGGTTCAGGCCCCTGGGGCCAAGCTCAACCAACCTGAGCCCTCTTCCACAGGGTGGCCTTGAAGGCAGTTCTCATGGGGGGGAGGGGAAGGGAGCCCCCACTCCTCCCCTGCCCGGATGCTTCTCTTCTCCTGGCTAACCAACCTGTCCTCATATGGCATCAGTGACTTGTCTGACATCCCATGGGTAGTAAGTAGCAGGGTCAGGATTGGAACCCATAACTCCTGACTCCAAATCCAGCCCTGAGGCCCATATCCAGCTGCAAATCCTCTGATCCCTCTCTTCTCCCCTCATGTCCCGCCTGTCCTCCCACCTGTACCGCTTGTCATCTAGGGGAATGAAGTCCATGAGCAGGGCATAGTCAGCCAATGTGTCCATGCCTAGTATCTTCACCTGAAAGGTGGGAAACATCCTCCTGCCAGGAAACGGAGCAGCCGGTTACTGAGAGGCCCTTGGAGGAGCCAGTCTCCCATCCTGCCTGAGGCCAGGGCCAGTCCTGCCCCTCCCCCGTACCTTCCGGCCTTGGTCACGATCATCTCGGTCCCCAGCTGGTTGAATTCCTCCCACAGACTCTTCATTTCCAGCTGAACAGTCACATTGGACAGGTGGGGATTCTTCCAGCCTGGCTGCGGACCGGCCTCCCCTGGGTCCAGCCTGCCAGGCTCGGGGGCAGCTGGGGCCCTGCTGTAACCCAGGGAGGGTCCCAGTCTGGCTGCCCACTCAGAGCTGGATGGAGGCAGTGGGTAGCCCTCAGAAGAGGTCAGCACGCTGAGGCTGGCTGAGATGAAGGCTGAGGGAGACAGGACAAGACAGAGAAAACATTCCCTCCATCCTCAATCAGCAAGGAGCACCTGGTCAGGAATGGGGGCAAGCACTGGGCAGAAACAAATTCATCTGGAGGTGGGGCAAGAAGACCTCAGGACACCAGGACCATTTAAGATCGATAGCATGTCCTTATGGAAAAGGCACTAAATCTGGAGTCAGGAAGACCTGCGTTCAACTCCTGCCTTAGACACTTGCTAGCTGTATGACCCTGAGCAAGTCACTTAAGCACTCTGTGCCTCAGTTTCCTCATCTGTAAAATGAGAAGCGCTGGACACAACAGTCCCTAAGGTCTCTTACTGTTCTAACTCTGTGATTCTATGCCCTTCCAACCAAGAGTCTCCCGCTCTGAAGGCTGGGCCTGGGGCAGCAGAGAGGGGCTAGGCCAAGGGGGAGGAAGTTTTGGGGGTGCTTGTTTATGGCAACTCACTTTTCTTGCCAAATGCTCAGACTGAGCTCTGCTGTTCCTCCATAATGAAGGAATACAAGTACCTGCCAAATTTCAGCACCTGGCTGGTGTCAAAGCCTGGGTCACCCTATCCGAATCACAACCTTATGTCCAAGAGGCCGTGACTGCATGAGAGCTGGAGTCACCGGGCCTGAGTGTGAATCCTACCTCCACCCTTCCTAGTTGTGTGACAGTTTCAGTTTTCTGGGATTGAATTTCCTTCTCTGTCATTTGGGGCAGAGAGGAACTAGGTGATGTCTGAGGTCTGGTCCTGTTCTAAATGCTCTATATGTGGGGGTGCAGGGGGAGGGGAGAGACAAAGAAATAAGGAGATAACAGAGATACAACAGAGATAGGGAGATAAGCAGAACAAACGGCAAGTGAGAGGACTTCGAGATAATTATCAAGCTTCCTTCCTCACACTTCTCTCTGGATCCATCCACGAATTCCTCATTTGCTCTTCACACCCCTGGGAGGCAGGTTGATAATAGTTAACATTTCAACGAAACATTACAAAAATACTCCAGCAAAAGGGGACATAGACAAGCAGGGTAGTGTTGTATTCAGCTTAAGATATAACCCAGAGCCCCAAGCTTCCCGGCCAATCAAGGCTTCTGCTTCTACACTACACTGCCCCTGAGATGCCAGTGAGTCTCTCTCCAGTCCAATGTGCATTGCAATCATGAGCCATATTGTGATTAATGTAATAATTATGTTTTATACAGTAGTTATATATTATTGTGATGGAATGACCTTTTCAAGGAGCCATGTCCACCACTGCCCGTGGAGGCTGAACTCTTGCTCAGACTTGACAGGTCTCCCAAGACCCTCTCATGTAGGATGTGCTGGTGTGGGTGGGCTAGCATCTGCACTGTTGGAGAGAAATCCACGTCGAGGAGACCCCAGGTCAGTCAAGTGGCCTCGTACTTTAGGAGGTCTTTGGGCACAGCTGGATGGCCATGTGTCAGGTGTATGGTGGTGGAGATGCCTTTTGGGTTGGCTCTGGAATCTGCGGGCCTGAGTTCAAACCTTCCTCTCCTTTGCACTGGCTGTTCCCCATGCCTGGAACATAATCTCTCCTCAATATTGCTTCTTGAGCCACCCAGTTTCATTCAAGATGCAACCCAAGCACTTACCTCCATCGTAGCAGAGGTCTTTCTTGGTCCCTCTCTCCCTCCCAAACTGCCATGTGTGCACTTTGTATAGCTCATGTATATACATGCATGTGTCCTATTGTCTTTCCCAACAGAACATAAGCTCCTTGAGGGCAGGAATTGCTACTTACACGCACACACACACACA